CTATTAATTTAACATTTGAGGACTCACCAATTGAGTCACAATTTTACAATTTTTCATAGCAGACATTATTTATTTATTATCATTTCTAGATGCTGAAGAAATGCTTGGGAATAAAGTTGATGGTAAGCTAATACCTATTGGCTACATAAATATCTTTGTCATATATTGATATAAGTCTATAATGATAATCATAATAAATCATTACCATCTTTTTTAGGAGCTGAAAGCACCCATTCATGGAGCAGGTATAGGACCTGCTATTGCCAAAAAGACCATTGTTATTCATCCGGTATTTACTATTACTGCAACAGTGTCAGTCATCAAATCTGTCAGTGCCAAAACCCAGTATAAACTTGGAGTAAATGGTCACTTGCTAATGGACTGGACTAATAATATTAAACTTATAATTAACAAGCAGCTGCTTTAGGCTTTTTTTGCTATAATTATATATTTTTAGGTCCTTTTTTTTTGCTAAAATAAATTTCATTCAATTCTAAATTCAAAGAAGCACCAAAGGCGTTGAAAGAGAGCAACAGCGCACAGCAACTATAATCACCATGCAATGTAGATCTACTAAACATGCACATGCACTTTCTACGTTGTGTATTAGATCTAGATCACAATTTCCCTTTCAGAACCTAGCTCATGCAATCTGCTGTTCATTTTAAATCTCACCAATGAAACAAATGGACAGGCATTTATAACAAGGCGGCCATTGTTCACAATCACAAATGACAACAATCACAATATAGTCAAACGAATGCAAGAGCATCTAAGTTGTTTTAAAAGGTTTAGTTCTAGCAATAATTGATATCCTGTTGTCTCTCTGAATGTGTTCATTATTAAAGTATGATAAAGAATCTGGTAGTATGTAGAAATATGTGATTCTACAATGCCTGTCTGGTATATAGCGAGAGTGAGTGTTAGCGCTCATGTTAAGTCTCATCTAGTTGACACCCAAACACTGGAAATTATTATTACACAACACGCATTTAGATCTATATAGACAATAATATCAATTAATAATTTATGAATTCTGATGTAATGATGAGTCAGCTCACTACATACAGTACTCCCCCGCCAGACAAACAGTCGATACGAAACCAATGAAGAATGAGTCGGCCATGAACAGCAGTCTATAAGTTGAGTTGTTGAGGGATTCTGACACGTGAGCAAGTAC